GGGTTTAGGGTTTAGGGTTTAGGGTGGTCGTGCACAAGGTTTCCAATCGGAGTTTAGAGGCGTCGGAAGGGGGGGGGGGGCTGCAAGTTTTAGGGTTTAGGGTTTAGGGTTTAGGGTTTGGGGTTGAGGGTTTTGGGTTTGGGTTTAGGGTTTAGGTTGCCGCTGCCAACGCCCAACAGTGTGTCGCCGCCTTCCAAGGCAGCATAAGCACCGCGTGGTAGGCCCCCGAGTATTCATCCTGACCTTGCTTGCAGAGGAGCCTAACTTCGAAGCATAATATAGGGGCCTTAAAAATTACCAATAGTATTTTGGGGGTTCCCTACTATAAGTATAGTATGGTATACCCCAACACCCTATTCTAATTATTAAGGCCCCTACATTGTGGCCAAGAGGGCTGCTATTTAAAAAGGGTATACAGCAGACAAACAGCATCCAGCGCATCAAGCGAAGTTCCGAATGTCTGGAAAAGAAAAAAGCCGAGCATGAAAACGAGCTGAATTCAGGACCATCCCTCCTGTTTGCCGCTGGAGTGTCGCATGTAGAAGGGGGTCTCCTCGGTTGAGATTTCGGTCCACGCTGCCGTTTCTACAGGCAAAAGAAGGGCTCACACATGCAAGTTGCTGATCAAGAGCTTGGAAGCTATCTTAATCACACTATTACCCTAAACCCTAAACCCTAAACCCTTGCTGCAGCTATCGATGCAATCGAGCCTTCGGAGTCAGGTCACTGGGCTGGTGAGAGCTGGGAGCTTGTGAAGATGTTGCACTTGCAAAAAGAACAATCAAAGGGTTTAGGGTTTAGGGTTTAGGGTTTAGGGGTTTAGGGTTTAGGGTTTAGGGTTTGGCCTTAACTAGTAGAACTGGTCATGGGAACATGTTCTAGTCAAGCTATAGCAGGAAACCCTAACAAACAGTATTGGTAACTATTCAGAACCCTACAGTAAACCCTAAACCCTAAACCCCTCAATCAACCCTAAACCCAAGACTTCTGCGAAGTCCACGGAGGCAGCCCAGCATCGAACTTCTTGATTGGCCGCCCGTGGAACTGCTGCAGTGCTCGGCTCATCCACCTGGATGGTCCGGTTTAGGCTTACCTTAAAGGTTACTACCCGTAAGGGTTGCTGCAAGGGTCAGTGTACAGGTTGAAATAAGGGTTCCATATAAGGATGACTGCCATATGGATTTAGTTCAATGCAGTGGCTTTGAAGTTTGGTTCTGGGTTGTATTTTCGTACGGTCGAGATCGCGGGCTCGTTGCTTGTGCCTTCCACTCCAACTCGAGCTGCTCGTTCAGCGATGTTGACAGTTTCGGGTGAGAAATGTGTTTTGACTGTGTGATGTACCAAGCTGCTGGTTTAGGGTTTAGGATTGACAAGTTGGGCGTCCTCATCCCTCATCCCGTTGCAGCTATTGGGCTCGGAGTCGAGTCCGCAACTCACCACCCCGCAACATACAAGTTTGCCAAGATGCATTCGCGAGAGGCCGTCAGTTGGACCTGAGTCTCGTTTCTCTCACCGATTGCTGACCTCTCTGGGATCCACACTAGTTTCGGGGTGCTACTGCAGTAAGCTCTGCAAAAACTCGGGGAGCCTTCTGACTTAGAATAAGTGTTGGATAGGGTTTAGGGTTTAGGGTTTAGAGTTTAGGGTTTAGGGTTTAGGGTTTAGGTTGGAGTCTATCAATTTCGAAAGGGACGATAAGGAGATGCCATTAGCAAGTTTTCCGACCCCTACACCCGAGAGCCTTGCGACCCTCTGGCTCCGGGATCATCAAAAAGAACCCCTATAGTCCCCCCCCAAAAAAGGTTTAGGGTTTAGGGTTTAGGAAGGGCTCCTAATGTATGGAGACGTTTGCATAGCCATTGCGCCCGGACAGCGCCAGATTTCCACAACTCTCTTGACTTGTTCTAGGCCTGAAAAGCCTGTATGGCATGCTAACTCAGCGTCCTGCTGGCATGCTGGCCTCTAGAAAGCTGGATAGAGGCTCCTTTGGTAGCCTCAAGCTCTGCTACGGGAGCCTCCGTGTCAGAAAATAGGGGATCTGCTTTAGAAACCTAGAGAATAGGATCCTCCTGATAGAGTGCCCCAGCTTTCTGAAACTCCCATGTCTCTCTACGCTCCACGCTCCACCGTACCCCTCTGCTTAGCCCGTCGCGTGCATCCGCAATTTCATTGGACGCCAGCTCCAGCGCCTGGGCAGTAGTTTTCGAGCTGAAGATCTCCAGGATGTGGGCAATGCAGGCGCCTTAATAAGTAGAATAGGGTTTTAGGCTCCTTTATTAGTATAGTTACAATAAGGAACGCTGAGGAATATTGGTAATTATTTAGGCGTCCATATTAGTTCTCTAAGTTAAGGCCCCTTGCTTGGAACCCAAACATAGCACGGCGCCCTTATAAACAGGACCCCCCCGAAAGGATCTTAATTTCGAGAACTTCCCATGTATGCCGATGGTAGGTTTAGGGTTTCAGGCTTTGAGGCTCCAATCTTGAGAATAGGAAAGACCACCTGAGTCATCGACGCATTCTTCCTCGAAAAACAATCCTGTCGCCACCAGTCCTCGCATGAATTGACCCAGTTTACCCAAACTGAAGGAAGATTCGGTATATCATACCGGGGATCCTTCATAAGGGACACCACCAACCAAGAAATGCTTGAATCTCAGAATACATAAAATGGGACTTTGGTTACTCGTGTCTCATGATAGCACCCAACATCTACACTGACCAACATGTAAGAAGAGCCGAGCCCTATATGCCCCCACTAAAAACCCAGAAATCGACCCTACCCAACCATAAACCCCAAACCCCACAATCCCAAACCCTAAACCCTACTAAAAATCCTAATATCGACCCTACTTCAGAAGCTTCCCTGGCCTGCTTCGACGTTGACGCCGCCCACGAGAGCCAGCGAGTGATCTCGGAATCCGCCTGGTGAGACGGGAGTGTTGTCACCACCACCATGGGTCGGGCTTCGGGAAGGCTTGGGTTTCGGGTTTAGGATTTAGGGTTTGGGGTTTAGCTTTTGGGGTTTAGGGTTTAGGGTTTGGGTTTTAGGGTTTAAGGTTTGGGGCTCAGGGCTTGCGATACGAAAAGGGCACGGGTTAATGGGATTGGGGGAGCTCCAGCACAGAACCATCCTGTGGGACGTCCCGCCCTTCTGGTGTGATCGTGCCCACTTTGCTAAAGTAGCAAAGACGATTCGTGGCGGCTGTGGAGGACGTCTGCATGTGCAGAGTCCGTCGTTGCAGCTAACGCAAATCAATTTACAGGCCCGCTGAGGCCTTTCCGATTGCGACGGTCGGGTTCAACAACATGGGCTACTAAAGGGTTCAATGCAAGGTTTACTATGCGGGTTGACAACACGACCTGATCCACACTCCTCAGATTCACGCAGTAGAGCCCACCAAGGCATCTCATGATTCTTCTGGTCCTGCTGTCTGCAAGCTTTGCAAACACACCAGGCATTTCGATCGCAGAACAGTCTGCAGTTGGATGTCTTTGTACCCTTATAAGGACCCTTATGTGTATACATATATATATATACACACACATACATATGCCTTTCTGTAGCCAGAGACGAGGATCCACTTTCCGGCTCATCCTTTTCGCTTCCAATACTTGAGGCTTTCAAAACACAGACTGCTAAAAAGCGGCGTTTCTGCCGTCCAACACAAGTGACAGGCAAACGGATCTTGCCACAACACACAGCCGGTCATGTAGCATGGAAGAGATATAGTGTTGGGGGTACTTATGGAACGCTGGTGACTGCTTCTGCAAGCAAAGCCTGCTTTTCAAACGCTCTCTGTGCTTTTTCGAGTGACAGAGGGCTTGAGGTGAACGGCTCCAACCTGTGGATACACTTATTTATCCCATGGCAGTCAGACAAAAGTAAGTTTGAGAGCGAGAGAGAGAGAGCCCTATCCGTAGAACCCTTAATCGTAGGAGCCCCTGAACCCTGAAGCCCTGACGAGGAATCCCGAATGTTCAGAACCCCTCTCCCGGTTTAGGGTTTAGGGTTTAGGGTTTAGGGTTTAGGGTTTTTTGACCCCACCCCCCCTGAATCTTGCACACGTAAAAACCTGAAGTGCGCGCGCTCTCAACCTCTAAATTACTGAGCTCGTAAAACCCAATTCCCGAAATTCAAAACCTAATCCCTGAATCCTGAACTCCTAAACACTTAGCTTCTGCAAACCTCCTAAACCCTCAACTTCTACTCGGTCTTCCCTAAACCCTAAACCCTAAACTACCCTAAACCCTTAAAACACCCTAAAACCCCAAAGCCCTGAAGAACCCTCAAGACCTCATCCTCTGACGGTTAAACCCTAAACCCTAAACCCTGAACCCTGAACCCTGAACCCTGAACCCTAAACCCTAAACCCTAAACCGTAGTGGGCT